AGGTAGCAAGAAGCTCTCCACACACTCACCGGACCTGGGCTAGGACTGGGTCTCTGTTTTTCATTTTTATGTATTTGGTACAGGGTCTCACTACACAGCTCGGACTTGTAGCAATCCTCCTGTTTCCAGCCTCCCCAGCACTAGAATTAGAGGCATGCGCAACCATGCCCAGACTCAGTTGCCAGCTCAGCGCGTCCCGGGGACAGGGCTAACGCGTTGTACGGAACTGGGAATAGAACCCTGGTCCCTGTGCTTTCCAAAGCAGGCACTTAGTCTGCGACAACCAGGATTTGGGAGAATGTGGTTCTGAAGAACATCGTGGCAGTACAGATCAGCTTTTCCTGAACTAACCAGTGCACAGAGAAGGTCAACAGCCTCCAGCACCAGCTCCTGGTGTCCAATTCGTGTGACGCCCAGCTCCTCTAGATCCTGGTGGGAGATGCGCAGCAGCTGCTCCCCATCTATCTTCTCCCGCTCAAATTTGTGGACATATGGCTGCAGGCAGTCGTCTAAGCCTACCAAGAAAGAGAGAAAAAAAAAATCCATTATTGTTATTCTGTTTCTTTATGCCCCCCCCCAAATTACCCACTTAAATCAATTTCAGCAATTGTCAAATCTGCTAGTTCTATTTATTTCTAGTGTATATTCTATTGTGTATGCTATCATCTCATCTCAAACATATTTGAAATGTTCACTGCACCGAGAGCTGTTGCATGACGGGTAGCCTCCAAATCCCTGTAAACTAAGGGAATAAACACTAACCCTCAGCTGATTCGAAATGCCAGTACCAGACGCATGTTCTTTGTTTGCTAAGCAACTCTTCCTTTGGGATACTGTTCCTCTCCTAGTGGCTGGCAAATCAAGGTTCCTTGCCATGGTAGTTGGCACACAGCCAAGCTGGCCACAATAGTCCACACACCAGCCAGTGATGGTTGCAGGGACAGTCATGTGACTTAGACAGAACCAATAAAAATTATCCTTGCTATTTGATATGCAGATACAAGAAGACAGAAGGCCTCTTTTTCTTTTCTAGCTGAAAGTCATAGGATACAACCTTAGTGATCCTGGCAATCATTTTTCTGAGCAGTTAGCTGAGAATGAGTTCATGTGAGAGAGAGATAATCTCTTGACAATATCCTATAACCATCCTGGATCTGCCCTTTTAGAGATATTTCTACCCTTAAAATTTTCCCCTTAAATTGAAATACGTTCCACCTCTAGCTTAACCTTGAAGGTCTATCCCTTGCAATTAAAATAGTTCTGATAAATATAAACATAAAGGAGATGATACAAACAGTGGTAAAGGGATGAGCTTATGAGAATTTTTCAGGTCAAATACTATCACCAATGGTGTTGTACTTTTATGACCTTATTCAATAACTAAAATGGGCAGACCAAGAGAAACTTTGATCTCTTTTGTCATGTTCAGAGAATGCTCCAGCCAACTTCTTACAAAAGTTTTAACGGAATAAACTCTTCCCCTAAAGCAACTGTACTATTAAACCTAATAATAATAAGCTCATGTTAGTATTTTAAGCCTAGATTTACTTGCATTCAATGCCAACATGAAGGATGCAGAATCAGTTTACCCTAAACAAAGCATATGAAGCCATGCTGCCACCGTCAGCTCCCACATACTTATTTCATTTAACACTCAGAGTTGGCATCATCTAGGTGGGTATTTTCCTAGGGGGGGAAAGGCAGACACAAGGGCCAGCACTTACTTCTGTCAGAACTAAAGTCTAAGGATATTAAAATCTGCTATGTAAGGATAAACTACATCCCTGTCTCACAAACTCTCACCATTTGATAAGACATAGGAAAGGAAGAGCTCCTGATAATGATCTACAGCTATCAAACATAGAAAAAAATTATATCTGTGGTAAATATGTGGAACCCACCACTCCTCCAAGCTGACATTTGTTGGCGGGGAGCCCTTTGTCACTGGGAAGCTAGGCTGAAGACACTGATATAAGCCCAGTCCACTCCACCAATCACAGGTCCCAAGTGGTCCTGCGGCACATGATTCAGACAGGCAGTGAGGCGTGGACAGTCAGCAGGGGAGACTGAGACTGTCATGGCACCAGCCACCCAGAGTCAGTCATCTGCAATGGGCAGCAGTGACAAAGGGCAGAAGCCACTCTGCCCTGTTTGCTAGATGAGGAAACTAAGGCTCCTAAAATATGTAAAACTTAGCTGCAGAGTGGCAAGATGCCAAGAGAAGGATGTTCTGCCATTTTCCTCAAGAAGAAAAAAAAGAATTCTCTACTGGATAGAGAAGAAAAAGACTTGAGTTCAAGTCAAGGTCTGTTACTCTTCCGATTTCTATGTGGTAAACACAAGACTCTAGCATGAGATAATGAAAATTCCTCTCCAAGAACTAGCCTAAGTGAGCACTGAAGTCTAGCTACAAAAGTCTAGTTACTAGAACAAAATCAAGCATCTTGGAGGTATTTAAAAAGCACTTCCAATGTCACTGAGTTCAAAAATTAGAAAAGTGCAGACCAAATATGAGCTACTTTGAAACTCAATCTAAGTCATTTAGCCAGCTCTAAGCAAGATTGATTTAACTTGTCACAAAAATTTAAGACCACTATGCCACATACTTAAACCCTATTACAGATACATTATGTCCTCCCCAAATTCTTGTGTTTTAGTCCTACTCCTAGTTCCCAGAATACATTTGGAGAGTTTTTAAAGAGCTAAGTTAAAAATGACATTGTTGGGCTGGAGAGATGGCTCGGTGGTCTGGAGCACCTACTTAGAACAAGCTTAGCAAGGCATCGGGGACCGCGGTTCAATCCCCCGGCACCACATGCCAGCCAGCCTCGCCCCCTGGTGGGCTGAGCTGGCCACACACACACACCAC